GGGGTGGGGGCGCACCCCATGTGGCCCTTCCTTAGGGATGTCCCCGTCCTTGTCCCCGCAGCCAATGGCACCTGGCTGGAGCTGGCGCCGGTGGCGGCTGTCAGCGTCCACCTGTTCACCGGCAACGGGACCGAGGTGCCGCTGGCCGGCCCCGTCCACCTGTCCGTCCCTTTGGCCCCCGACGCCGCGGCCGTGGTGGCCACCAGCGTGCCAGCCTGGAGGTTTGACCCCAAGAGCGGTGAGTGCTGCCGGAGCGTGGCAGAGGGGGACACGGCTCCTGCTGGGGGTGGCGGGGGCTGTGAGGGGTTCCAGGGGTCTCAGCCCAGCGTGTCCCCACAGGGCTGTGGGTCCGTAACGGGACGGGGCTGATCCGAAAGGAAGGCCGGCAGCTGTACTGGACGTTCGTCTCCTCCCAGCTGGGATACTGGGCAGCAGCTCTGCCCTCCCCCAGCACAGGTGAGGTGACACGTGTGGGTGCCCTGCTGGCCCGTGTCCCTTGGCTCTAGGGACAGGGTGGCAGCACCTTGGGGTGTTTCCCTCTCTGACCCCCTGTCCCAGAGCTGCCTGAGGGAGCTGGGACCACCCTGGGGTGCTCCTGTTGGGGTGGGGACTCCCCCTGATCCCGCTGTCCCCAGGGCTGCCTGAGGCTGGGGGGCACTGCAGCCCCTTGGGGTGCTCTGGTTCCCTTTGCCTCCCCCTTCAGACCTGTCCCAGGACAGCCCCTCAGGGCACTCTTGAGGGGGGCTCCCCTCTGACCCTGTTGTCCCCAGGGCTGGTGGCGATGGCAGCAGGTGTGACAGACATCACCACCTACCACACCATCTTCCTCCTCACCATCCTGGGTGCCCTGGCGCTGCTCGTCCTCATCCTCCTCTGCCTCCTCATCTACTACTGCAGGTCAGCACCGGCTGCATCCTCACCACGCTGGGGGTGGGAACAGAACCCAACATTCCCTGTGGGAATGAGGGTCAGCACCCACCTGTACCCCCTGGGTGCTCCATAACTGGGGGGGAGCATTTCCAGGCACCGTGTAACTGGTTACGGGGAGGGGGCAGCATCCTCCTGGTAGCCCTGGGTGCCCTGGATCTGGCTTTGGGAAGGGGGGCACCACCCCATGGCACCCCCAGGTGCCCTAGACCCCTAGGTGCCTACCCCTATGGGAAAGGGGTACCACCCTCCTGGCATCCTTGAGTGCCCTGTAGCCGTTTTGGGGGAGTCACTGCCCCTTGGAACCTCCCAATGCCCTCTAGTTGGCTATGGGGAGGAGGCACCAGCCCGTGGCACCTCTGGGTGCTCTTCAGCTGGATTTGGGGGCCAGACACCGATCTCCAGACACCTGTAGGGTGTCCTACGGCTGGCTTGGGAGGGGGGACACCAGTACCCAGCACCCCCGCGTGCCCTGTAGCCCCCTCCAGCAGGCGAGGGTGGGGGAGCAGGCGGCCCCCGGCCCCACGTGTCGCCGTCTCCCCGCAGGCGGCGGTG